TGTTTCCCAAGCACCAGACATCCAGATAAGGATACGATGAACTACGCTGCTGTCATCAACTGTGGCATATGGATCCTTGCAGTAGTTTATTACTTGGCCTACAAGAGAAAGTACTACACAGGTCCAAAGTCCAATTTGGACGAGGAAGTTTACCTTGATGCTATCAACGGGGCTGAAGGTTCATCTGAAGACCAAATAGACACAGTTTTGTCCTCATCAAAGGCAGATAAATACGCTTGAGTATGAGTTAATAATGATTGAGTTCTTTTGTTTATTATACTGTCTGTAGTAACGGCATCTAAGATGCTGCCCTCCATTTACGTTGAACCGTGGGAACGTATATAGGAACGAGCATCCAAATGGCACAGTACCCTGCAATGATCAAGTCTATGTATATCAAAAGGTACTCGAACCCAGTGATCCGTGAGATTGCACCAATAGTAAAAGGTAGAACGGCAGATCCAGTACCACCCAATGAAGTTGCCAAACCGACACCACTCACCTGAAGTTGAGTTGGCAAAGTCTTCAACAGCGTTATGTTTGAAGTTGGGAACAAGGGGCCGACAAAGACACCTGACATAAACACTAAAGGCTTCACAATAAGAGTGTAATGATCTCCTGTGTATGCCATTGAATAGACAGCAAACGTGGTAAAGAAGAACAAACTGAGCAGTGAATATCCCAAGTTTGCAGTATACTCATTACCAAATCTTTTCGTTACAAATCCCAGTAGCATTCTGCCACATGTGAGACCAATCCAGAACCAGCTGACAACGAACGCTGCCTCTTGTTGTTCCATAGACTTGATGGTCCTCAGATATGTGAGCAACCACGAACCAACACCCAGTTCTGCTCCGATGTAGAGGAAGAGATAGGCACACGTTATTGGAACAATCGGACTCTTAAATATGTCCCAGAGAGACACCTCGCCCTTGGTGTCGTCACCTTCAGTTGAATGGGCCCTATACTTGTCCTTTGTTTCATCACGGAATAGTACTACAACAGCAAGTAGTCCGATAAACGATAGCGTCGCCAATAGGGCATAGTGCAGCCTATAACCCCAGTGCTTCAAGATCCAGCTAACCAAAGGTGGAGAAATGACACTACCAACGCCATAAAACCCGTGTAACAGTCCCATAAGCTCGTTATGGTCAACCAAGTCGCTCAAAAACACATTGACACAACTGTCAAGCAGCCCCATGCCCATGCCGTAGAACAGGTGGAGGCCAATGTACAAAGGGAGGTATTCTGTGATGCTGATGATCAGGAAGGACATTGCAAGCAGTAACGTGGCAATGGTCATAACACCAAACCTTCCACAATGCCAGTGCAGTTTCTCGTTGGACAGTGCCGATGATGAGTAGCCAAGGAATTGCAGCATGAATACGATGCTGACAACGGTCTGCGAAGTGCGGTAATGTGTGACCAAGTAGGGCAGCAGAGTACCCACGGTCTGATCACATAGTCCAGCGACTATGAACAGTGAAAAGCTAGTCAGGATCTGTAGTCTCAGTCGTAGTGATCGTCTCCAGTCCTTATCGTCCCGATTGGAGGGCATCGGGAGTGGAGTGTCATCGGTACCGGCGTTGGAGTCCGCATCGAGCAGGAACTCTCTCAGTTCGTATTCGTTATCCTTTGTGTTTCCCATACTATCCGTGATCTTTCACCTTTGTTAGCGATGCTTTAAGGACTCTGACAGAATTGGGACTAGAAATTAATGTGTACCTTGCTCTGGAGGGAGAATTGATCCGAGAGATGCTGCGGCTCACAGCCTACGTTATGTATGTGCGCATGTAAGCAAAGGTAAAGATCATAACGTTCATTAGCCATAGATATGGAATGTTAAAAACAAGACAAGGAATATTTTATATACACGTATAGTCGTTAGTTATACGGAGGAGGAGCATCTACCCAGAGATGGTGGTTTAGCCCTGGTCCAAACAACAGATTGCTCTGTGATTTCCGAGGTGAGTGAGGGCGTGAGGCGAGGGATTCGTGAGAGTTGAAGTGTAAAAGTTGCAATTTTTCAATCATTGGAGAGAGTGGAGCCTGTTGATGTGACTCCCTCAATACGGTACCAAAACGAACAGGAGAGCCGTTCCGTAGTGGGATTGAAAGAGGTGGTACGAATTTAGTACAATCCTCAGCTTTCTCCTTGGTGACCTGTTGCGATGATTCAACCTTTTGTCGAGTTGTGTGGTGTGGATCCACAAGGGTATCCTCTGATTTAACAGATCTTGTTGCAGCTTCACTTGCATGCTCTTTTTTCTTCTTGTTAATCTTTATACTTCTTCTCTTTAACACCTGCGAATTCTTCTCGTTATGGTAGTTCTTAGACTGATATGTAGCCAATTTCGCCAGAGTGGTATCCAACTGATATCCATCAACACGCGTTATCAGTTCAATAGGGATGTTTCTGCAATTAGCCAAGCTCGAATAGTTTTCTTCGTATTTTGAAAGACCAGGACGTTCCACAACGTCCGGGAAAGGTGGGACGCAAAGCCTTAGACTCTGCCTCGATGTGTTCAACGTGGAGAGCTTTAACATGTTCGCATGTGAAACCTCGGTTTCACGAGGATTAACATCAAATATTGAAATCTTCTCACTGTGCGAGGGATCCAACTTGGAATGCAGTTGGTGCAGCACGTTACTCGTGGTCCATTTCTGGGACACTTTGTGTAGCACGCTAGGAAGGATATCTCTGAATAAATCACGTATCTGGTTCTCAATCTTCTTCTGCAAGAATCGTTCAATGACACGAACGTTGTCAAAACTGGAACTCACTTTGATGTTCTCCAAGGGGTCGTTCTTGAACACAAGCGTTAACCCTTTGCTCTTCGAGAACACAACAACAATGATACCACTGAGCCTGATATCCCTCAAGTCCACAAATAGCGGCATCGAGAAGGACTTGGAGCTCAAACCAAACTTTGGCAAGGCAAAATCACCGCCGTCTTGTGTTATGGAGTCCTGGTAGATCTTTAGGAGGTTGGCCTGAATAGCAGTGGATAGCGTTATATGGGCATCGCCATCGTATTTTAGCTTGAAGATTCCTCTAAACTTGTCCTTCCCAAGGTCACCAATCTCCAAGATTTCAAAACTTGGACTAGTAGATCCAAAGCTGAGGTCCTTGACAAGGATTTCATCGCTCAATATTAAAGGTCTCTTTCCTGAATTCAACGCATCGTAAAGTAACTCCTTGGACCAAGAGAGGAATGAGGACTTTTCCACAGAGTCCCACTGGATGTCACAGGACATTCTTTATAACCTTCTATAATCAAAAATGGATGAAAAAAAAATGATGGGGAAAGAGACAAATTGGACAAACAGATAGTGTCTTTTTTTTTTTGCCTTATTTTAATTAGTCTTACGATCGCCTGATTGGTTCACATTTTTTTTTTTGACTTCTTTGTTTTTCTTTTCTGTCGCTGTTTTGATTGATATGGGCCAATTCTCCTTTACTTGTCCCGCGACCCCCAATTAACGTCACAGAAAAAATTCTTTTCATGACTCCGGGGAAGGATTGTGTTAGGGACCACAGAAGTTAATGTACAATTCTTCCTCTGCTGTTAGTGATTACTCCGGGTGAGGGTGCGACATACATTGAAGTAAAGCTAACATGTAAAATTTAATACATAGCGGTTTACTTTCAGAATTATTGGATGTGATCGAGCCATGGACAGTTGTCCTTTTCTAGTCACCATTAAGACATTGAAGATACTTAATCAACGCTGATCGATGTCTATTGAAGTAAGACTCAAGGAGGCATCGGGAATCCGACCAAGTTTTTATCTAAAAGATCACACTATTTACACCGAGATTACAGTGTGATGTGACTGATAAAGCATATAGGCGATACCCCATAGCCCCATTCAGCCTGTTGCGCTATCTACATGGCGGAAACTACCAATCGTTGCAAAGGACCCTTGATCCCCAGGGGAGAGGCAAAAAGCTGTCAAGCATTAAAGTCATTGTAGATAAGACAAGACCATTGCCACTTGATAGGTGTGATAACAGATGAAATTCAAACACAGGAATGATATGTATAGTCACCACCAGTGCATACAATGTAACACCTCGAGGTCCACGAATAGGCGTCCAGATCCTTTGTCCTGTACAGAGCACTCGGACAGACACACGCAGACCTCTACAATTTGTTATAACGTGAAATGTGCACGTTCAATCTCAAACCAATCAAACGTTGTAATTAGCCCTCTGTGTAACCCATTCTTCGGGCGTAAATGTCTTTTGTTGAAATGCATGAATGGCGGCGATCTCCTCCTTTAGCAATGAATTGACCAACCTCGATCTGGCCAACTTGTTCTTCCCTTGGAATTGTGAAGACACAATGATCACAGCAATGGCCTGACCACAACCTCCCGAAAGGTCTTCAACGTACACTTCATCTGTCTGCAGCCTTTCTTGTATGATTAATTTCAATGACTCTGCATCCACCATCTTCTCTTTGAAAAATTTTCTCTATTTGTCTTTTAAAACGTCACAGGTTAATGACCTCTTCGCAGTTAAGCGGTGTTGTTTTTATAGAGAGGGAAAAAAAAAACAGGAAAATTAGGAAAATTTTGCCCACAAAGACCATAATGGACATCACCGGCATAACTAAAAAAAGAGCGAAAAACACCAAAGAACGTCAGAGTTGCCGTTCATTTACCGCGCTTTTGGCCTACAGCAAACAAAAAAATACACCCAACATCAATGGGGCACTCGAACTAGCATCAACTAAAAGCATAAACGACGTATCGTCAAGACAAGCTAATCGCCGAAAAAGAAGGCGTGTGGACTGAGTTTTCCAAGGTGAAACCGTATCATTAACCGCTGTGGCTAATTACATCCCACTTGACCGCGCTCGAATCGAAACAGGAAAGAAGACAAGACAAAATGTACAAGAGAGTCATCACAAGTCTGGAGAAGAAGTTCCCACTCTCATTGGCGGAATCATGGGACAACGTTGGTCTTCTTGTCCCATCTGCGACTACAGCAACGCAAACAGCATCTTCCTCAGGGAAAGTCCTCCTCACCGTGGATTTGACTACGAGTGTTGTTGATGAAGCTGTGGAGAAGAGTGTTGGACTTATCGTTGCGTATCACCCTTTCATATTCAAAGGAATCAAATCGATTAACCTACAGAATCCACAGCATGTTTCTCTTCTAAAGCTAATCCAGGCGGGGATTCAAGTCTATTGCCCACATACTGCTATTGATGCCGCTAGAGGAGGCGTAAACGATTGGTTGGTGAAAGGCATCACTGAAGATGGTAACATCGTTTCAAATGAGGTTATTGATCCTTCGAAGATAGATCCTAACTCAGGATGTGGACGTATTGTGAAGTTGAACTCTCCAATAGCTCTGGAGAGCTGGTTGCCATCTTTCCAAAAACATTTAGGCGTTGGTAACCTTTTGTTGGCTACAAAGTCAAGGGACGTGCAATTTCAATCTGTTGCGGTATGTGCTGGTTCAGGTGCTGGTGTCTTTGCAGCACTTAAAGAGGACGCAGACCTTTACATCACTGGTGAGCTTTCCCATCATGAGGCTCTTATGTTGAAAGAAAAAGGCAAGATTGTCGTTTGCGCACGTCATAGTGCGACGGAGCGTGGGTTTTTAAGAGAGCTCGCAGAGTATATTGAGGCTGAAGTTGACGAAGTTGAAGTTATTATCTCCTCTGAGGACTGTGATCCTTTCGAATTTGCATCTTAATGGGATCAACTGCACAGATCATGCGACAGCTTTGTGCTCTGCGTTGACCAGGAGGGCGGATCTTATCTGAAGTTACCCTCACCTCACAGGTGGATTATTGCAACTTGTGCATCTTACTGAACATTCGGCTGCCGTATTTATCAAGATCCAACGGTAATTTGTACGCTGCAGTCACACATTGTATCTTAGATATGGATAGACGTTCACTTTTAGCTGCCTTTAAAATTATGATACGCATACAACCACACCTCTATTTAGATATATGTCCGCGTAGTATATGGGCTAACTCACATCAGAGTTATTTTAGAGAGAACTTCTTGATGGTGCTTGTTGTACCCATAACCCTTGACCAAGCAACGATGTTACTAAACTCCACGGCATCTTTCTCATTGAGGTCTTCATCTACAGTACTCACAGCACAACATTCGGTGATCTCCTACAATCTTGTGCCTTTCTGAAATACCAAGACTTTTCAAATTAGAGTGATCTCCGGATTTTGCTCCTCAGGTTGGTCTTGATTCACGACTATGAACCCTGAAAACCCCGACCAAGTTGTCTCTTTGTTGTTTCTTTTTTTTTCTGTTTTTCTGCCTGCAGTTGCCAAGTATCAAAGGCCAATAAAGGCTCAAGAAACGCAAAAAACAGATAAGATAAAGACGACGTAGTCGCGAGAAATGATGGATTGAAGAATTTCTCATGCTCTAGTCACTTCACATGTTTTTTACGTCTTTGAAGAGGGTTTAGTGTGAAGTTAACAGGCCACTGGTAGACCTTATGGGTTGTAAACATTTACACAATGTAATTCTATACGTCATTAAGTATGTAGGGATTGTCCAGGCTTGTTTGAATGACTGCTTCAAAGCCGCGGCGTACTCCATTTAACAACGGCTGAAATTTTCCTAATCCACCGTAGACAACGCTGCATAAGGGGAGTAAAGTATGCATTATGGACCATGACTGTACAAGCACGGATTATGTATGTTTTCAGAAGGTGAACAACCATGATCAATGTATGCAGATCGATTAGCTGTGCCACCCAATGATTGGACTAGGCATTCCAGAATCTTGGTCGTTTCGATTACTCCCACATCACTGAACAGATATGGCAAAAGGGAAAAAAAGTTAGATATATAAAGGGATGCCCAGTTTCATCTCCTTCCATCATCACAACTGTCCTCGAGTTACAATACTTTATATACTTGACACTAGTATAACAAAGTTTATAGCGCACCACAATGGCTCTAACTGTTCCTACGAAACAAGGTGCTAGTACCTTCTTCCAAAAAGTGGTCAAGAAATTCACAACTAGAGATGGTCTCATTGGTGACTATGATTACATGCACTTGTTCATGCCGAAGATTCCATTCATTACGCATAATACCAGGGAACAACCGTTCTTTGGTTTGGACTCAGAGATGCCGATTGTACTGGGTATGATCTTAGGGTTCCAACACTCGCTGTCCATGCTGGCTGGTATCATCACTCCTCCAATCATCATCTCATCTGCTGCTAATTTGAGCAGTGCCGACTCTCAATACTTGGTGTCTGCATCATTATTAGTTAGTGGTATTTTGTCCTCTATTCAAATCACAAGATTCCACATCTATGGAACAAAGTACTACATCGGTACTGGGTTGTTATCTGTCGTTGGTACTTCTTTTGCTACAATTACCATCGTCAATGGTGCTTTCCCAATGATGTACGCCAACGGTGAATGTCCTGTTGCTGAAGACGGAACTAAGTTGGCATGTCCACAAGGATATGGTGCCATCTTGGGTACTGGTGCGTGCTGTGCGCTGTTAGAAATAGCTCTCTCTTTCATCCCTCCAAAGGCGTTGCAGAAAATTTTCCCTTCCATTGTGACTGGTCCTGTTGTCTTGCTTATCGGTGTTAAGTTGATCCAATCCGGTGTCACCAACTGGCTCGGTGGTTCAAACTGTACTGATTACTGTCCTTATGAAGGTGCTCCTATGGCTGGTCATTTCGGAAATGCCAGATTCTTTGGTTTGGGTTTCTTGGTTTATTTCACGATTCTCCTCTGTGAGAAGTGGGGCTCTCCAATCATGAAGTCATGTGCTGTGATTATGGGTCTTTTAGTCGGTTGTATCGTTGCTGCCGCATGTGGTTACTTCAGTCCAGATGATATCGAAGCTGCACCAGCTGCAACCTTTATCTGGGTTCACACATTCAAGTTATCGGTTTACGGTCCTGCAGTGCTTCCAATGCTTGCAACTTACATAGTGTTGATGATGGAAGCCATTGGTGATATCACAGCCACCTGTGATGTTTCCCGTTTGGAAGTTGAAGGTGATTTGTACGATTCCCGTATCCAAGGTGGTGTTCTTGCTGATGGTTTCAACGGTGTTTTAGCTTGTCTTTGTACTATCACTCCAGTGTCTACATTTGCCCAAAATAACGGTGTCATCTCCATCACAAAGTGTGCTAACAGAACAGTTGGTTACTGGTGTTGCTTCTTCCTCATCGTCATGGGTATCTTCTCCAAGTTTGCTGCAGCTTTGACCTCTATTCCAAACCCTGTCCTTGGTGGTATGACCACTTTCTTGTTCACATCTGTTTCCGTTGCCGGTTTGGCTATTATCTCTAGAAACGAGTTCACAAGAAGAGACCGTTTCGTTCTTACAGCTACTTTGGTGTTTGGTTTCGGTTCCACAATGGTTAAGGGCTGGTTCTCATACATCTTCACATACACTGGTTCTAACAACGCTCTTAAGGGTTTCTTCAACGCCATCGTTCTTGTCATGGAGACTGGTTATGCCATTGCCGGTATTCTTGGTGTCTTCCTCAACTTGGTCTTCCCACAAGAAGAAGTTGATGTCAAGTACATCGAAGCCGAGGAGGAAATTAACGAGACTGGATCTGCTTCTTCTCAGAGTAAGACCACCCACTACGAGGAGAGAAAGGGTGATGAAGTTATGTAGTCATATTGTTTGGCAATCGTCTTTGGTATTTTTGCATCTTGATTCTTTTATTATTACTAACATTGGTTTATCTTTTATCTTATAAAGTTGTTTATAAACATGTTCTTGCTTGTTAATTGAATTCTTTGTAGTTGCACCACCGTGATCGAAAATAAATGAAGATGTTGCCCAAGTTCAAAAATGAACATGATCTTCGTGTAAACCATCGTGATCATGTTATAGTTGCCAGAAGCAAAACCGCAGAAAACATGGCCGACAAAGATCGTATTCTAATAATCGGACCTACAGATGTGGCGAAGCATAGATTACTACCATTGATTGATGACTCTGTAGATTGTGAAGAAGGGGCCATCCATAACCTACTGCTCAAGACGAAATATTACACAACGGAACTCGATGCTTGGATAGATGACGTTGAAGATTGGAATGAATGGACACAGATTTTCCAGAGTGATGAGGCCAAGGAGATAAGGGACGTGATACGAGGGGTCGTAATATGTTTCCCCTTTAGTTATGGCGTTGATAAGCTCAACAAAGTTATTGACCTTGTTCAGAAATTTGTCGATACACTCAAGATTGACGAGGAGGAATTTCAATGGCAAGGTCTGATGTGCTGTGTTGGGTTTGGAGGGATTGATACGTTGGAGCAGTTTGAAGAATTTGAGGATATATGTTTAAGTAAAGGGTGGGAATGCGTTGATTTCGAGCCTAAAGACGAGTCATTGAAAGCTGAAAATCTTGGACCACAAAGGTTCAGACAGGTTGTTGAGACTAACTCGTGGACCAATATGGACATGATAACCCGCGAGGGTAATCATGAAATGGATTTGGATCATCTTGTCGCTGCGGTAAAAGACGCCAAGGATCACATATCATCTCTACCCACAGATCAAAGACATCAGCATGCTATAGATTTTATACAATCACTCAACCTTGGTGGATTCGATGCGGAAGAACTTGAACAAGAGCCTCTTGTATAGTTGGACTTTTGTTGGAATGAACACCAATAGGATCAACTGGATTGAATGCTTAGCCCATCCGTCAACATATTTCAGACCCATAAACAGTATTGCGAATTCCATCACAGAATGTAAGGGGAATTCCAGCACATTCACAACTTGAAAAACTTGCACAAGCCATTGAGGAACCCTTCCAAGGTTAGATAACTTCTTATAGTGATAGAAATACGCAACAACACCCGTAAAGGTGATATCTGCAATGTACAGCCCATAGAGTGTATGTCTTTGAAGTTCGATGTTCTTGTCAAACACACATACTGTGATCACAGGTAGCAAGTGGCTAAAGACATAACCGCTAGGTGATATAGGAATGAGTTTCAATATGGAAAGGACAAATTCGACGCCTGATATTATGAGAACAACCGCTCTGAAGAACTCGTGGATTCCACCAGGAAGGAAACGGCGACCAACAAGTGGTAGGAGGATAAGTAATCGCACCAAAAGGGCAAAATGGAAAAAGCCCGCAATTGCATAGAAGCACTTGACGGACTTGAATACGAAAGGTGATTCTCTAAGGTTGACTCTCTGTGGCATCGTGTGATTATGACTTCTTGTCCGTTGTGATCACAACTTTGTCATGTGTATGGCTCTCGGTTAAAATTTAACATAGCCTCTCTGTACGTTGCGCGTTTGTCTTGCGCAAGAAAAAGTTTCATACACGTCAACAAAAAAAGCAGACAAAACAGACAAGACATAAAAGTGTTCAAAACGAGACAAAAGAGACCAACCGGACTAGAAATATGAGGTTTCTAATTCTTTGGACCCTGCTGGCTGCCATTGTAGCTTCTTGGAGCTCGGAGGATATCGAGCTGTTTCAATTGCAAACTGATTTGGTGAAGTTATACGGCTCAGATGCCACCTTTTACAAGTTCTTTGAGCTTCCCAAAGGCGAAAAGAGCACCTTTGAACAGATCAGCAAGCAGTTCAAGAAGTTATCAAAGAAATACCACCCGGACAAAGCACGTGGAATCTCTAAAAAGAAGGCCAATAAGAGATTTGAGATGTTGAACCTCGTGGCAAACGTGTTGAAAACTGATAGAAAGGAACGTTATGATTACTTTTTACAGAATGGCTTCCCCAAATACTCAACTTCAAGTGCTGGCTGGATATACGCAAGGTTCAAACCTGGCTTGATCTTCACTTTGTTGGTGCTGTTGTTGTTCATCAACGTTTCGCATTACGTTGGGACCATCATCCAGAGAAACCAGGATAGAAAGAGAATCAATTCGTTGATCGAAGAGGTTAAACTGGTTGCAGGTAGTCAAGCTCCAAATGGTGAATTGGACTTGACTCAGCAGAGGAAAGTACGCGTTGAAAGGCTGGAGAAGACATTTTTGTCAAGAATTGATGGTGTATTCCTCTGCGATGATGAGGACCCAGATTATTTGGAGAAAATTACCAGTGATGATATTCTCAATCCTACATGGAGAGATATCCTTTTGGTGAGATGGTTTGCCTGTGTATGGAATCGGTTGTTCAAGTCTGTCTACTTCATAGACCTCAGCCCTCCAGCTCTACCTAAGAAGCACGATCCATTAGACTTGGAGGAAAAGAAGGCGAAGAAGAAGAAGAAACCAACAGGAGAGAAAAAGGTATTACCTAATGGTAAAGTAATCTATAGCAAAAAGAGAAATTGATCTATTACATAGCTCTGTCTGACATGTTTATAAGTTATCGGAACGTGTGTTTTCAAAGTCCCTTCTTTATCCCAGTGAACTGTTTGGAAAGATGCATAGGAGATGGATTCAACATCCCAGCCTTTCCAGTCTACTCAAAGGGCATTTAACTAGAAGCTCAAGTAATCGAATTAAAGGAAGAGAGGCCAACAGAGAATTTATCCTTCTGAATGATTGATTAAATATTAAATAATTCCTGTGACTAATAATCACGAATGCGTTGATGGAACCTGTTCTTCTTAACGACGTACTCAAGATCTGTCTTGTCAAATACAAAACCCAGCAAGTTCAACTGCTCAAACTGAGGGAAGACTTTGAAGATATCTCCATGTCTTTCAAGTGCTTCACAAATCGTTCGAATCTGAGGCAGAAAGACCAGGAATACAGCATCTTCAATCTCTGTTAAAAATGGGAGATATTGCTGCTGGAAGCATCTCGCACAACCTTGTCCATAGTCATCTACTCTATTTGATGCATTGGTATATTCCCTCAACGATAGAGATAACTCAAATAACTTGTCATCAATGGCCGTAAGATCATAGAATGACCAAAAGGACTGGTATATCTGACAATTCAAGATCTTCTGGTTCAGTATAATTCTCGAAGAGTTATCGTGCATTGTAAACTTCTTCAACTTCTTGAAACCCTGTAAATTTGTGAATAATCTTCTGGGTAGTGTTTTGTAGACACCGTACGAGCAGTTGATGATGGTCAGCTCCTCGAGGCTAGGAGATTCTGCATTGATGAAGAACTGATCAAATCGATCGCAGAAAGAGGTTGAAACACTTGGTATGGAAAATGTCAGCTTCTTCAGACTCTTAATAGGGTAGAAACTTGAACTGGACGTATCAATTGTTTGGCTAGGAGCTGATGGATAACTAAATTCACCTGACCAGCAATTCTTTATATGCAATTCAGTAAGGTTACCAAGCTCTGCACTTGGCTTCAGCAGTTCCCAAAACGATGCATTCTCAAAGGGAGCTTTCGAGCCCAAGATGAGTGGATCATCGAGTGTGTCAATGTTTGAGATGACAAACTTGTAGAGATTTGGAAATTTGACCTTTGCCAAAGTCTCAAGGATGAAGGCACTTGGTGTGCTGTATACACGATACTGATAGTCCAATGTTGTACCACTCCATGGAAAGTTGGCAGCAGTTCTTTGAAACGATCCACTACTGTTTTCGTCCTCGTCGTTATCATCGTCAAGGTACTGACTGTTCGTTTCATCATTGTCACCAAATTCAATACGGTTCCGTTCGTACTCCACACCCATTTCATATGCCTTTTTCATGCCACCTCCTAAAGACACATTCTCATCATACTGGAAGTGTCTATCAAAGTGTTCCATTGCCTTGTCCAACAAGCCAAACGCACCGTTGACTTCTAACGACTTCAGTTTCGTATTAGTGCCTCCATGACCAACAATCTGCATCAAGTTCTTTGCGAGTGCTTCTCTGTGTCCTTCTGGAGCATCTGGAGAGCTGTCTACTAACCACATGTTGATTGTCAGATCAGCGAGTTCCGAGAACTTGAGATCTGGGTCCAACGCACCATCGTCCAGTCTGATGGACAGCTTCCTCAGGTTATTCACAACGCTTGGGTTCAGCGAGGATAGCTTGGAGAGTGGGATCTTTGGCAGAACGATGGACTTCAAATTTGGCAATGCGCCAACAACAGTATCCCAGTACTGTCTCAGTTTCAAGATGTAGTTCAGATCAGACTGTGTCAAGTGCCTATACTGGTCCAATTGGCCAGAATCCAAAACGTTGAAGCTGGCAATTTCCTCCACGTATTCCAAGTACTTGAGCTCATTCACTCTGCCCTTGTTGATCTTCGTGTATATGTTTTCAAAGAATGACGAGATCCTGGGCCAGGAAGATATCAACGTTCTCCCCGTGCACTCTGCAAGGGACTGGTAGAACTTATCGTTCAGCTTCTCACAGATCACCAACGACCTGTAGAGTCTCATCTGGCCGGGATTCACCAGCTTCGAAGATAGTCCCATGAGGTTCAGCACATCGTTTTGTGGGAGATATGAGAATATCCTCGTCAAGATGTCATCTGGTAAGTCTGTCAATGACAACACTCTGTATGCTCGCTTCAGAGCCTGCTGTGGGTCCTCAAAGGTGCTGTTTCGCTTTGGCATTCGGTGCAGCAGAGCAGTTAACACACGCTGTACAACAACTAATGGTCTCCTTGATCAACAACACTGGCTAAGAATGCTGTGCTCCTCCCCAACTGCGTGCAATAAGTCTCGCCCTGTGATCAAGTCCACTGTGGCTTTGACCAAGCTGGGATTTTCGTGATCATTTCGCAATTCCGCGTGGCGGTCCTCGCTTGTGCTTCTGCTTAGTCTGTGATGCGTGCAACAATTGCACTTGGCCCATACAGTTCACGCCATCCATTGTGCTGTCCACCACCGCACAGACTCCCTCTAATTTCAACTGCACCTTCCCACGACCACCACCACCACGCTCATTTGCCCCCCTCGCCCAATCGACCTTTCCATTCTGCCTGTCCTCTGCTCACGCCCACCAAACCAGCAACCACACAAAGCATCGCACACGCCAAAGGCGGGAAAAGGTTCGTATTCCCAATTAGGATAAAAGTTCCCCTGACCTCGCACTGAAAAATTTTGGACGTAGCTGTGTGCACTTTCATAGTCAGAGAGTGTGAAAATTAGTCAGAGGTTTCCTTCTTGATTACAAATAGAGGGTCTGTGGGCCAAGAGGAAGGGATAGAGAACGCCAGCAGGAGCAAAGCAAACACAGTGCTCTTGACTATACACCACGAAACAGTTGAGGAGGGTCAGCACGATTTGTTCATTCCTTTTCAGCAGAGGTGGCCAGTCTTTCTTGGAGTATATACTATCGGCTTAAGGTTTAGTCGGGAGGAACAAGAAGCGACACACACAGCGAACCAACACACTTGGAAACCCACTGCTTAAGCTATTGAGTACCATACGATGGGGCTGCTATCATTAGGGACTCCGCTTCCTTGGGAACAGACAAGGGAGTACGCGGAGCACGTCCGCACTGAGGGTATCGAACAGTTGATCAAGATGTTCAAGGCTGCATATGCAAGAACCGGTGATGGCTATCTATGGGGAGACGAAGTGGAGTACACCCTGGTCAAGTTTGATCATGGTCGTGGTCTTGCTCTGCTGAGTATCGATAAGGACAGCGTATTGGCTGATCTCAACGAGGACGGACCACTGGCACAGCTGTCTGTGGACAATGATCTCAACTTCCACCCGGAATATGGCCGCTTCATGCTGGAGGCCACACCGCTGGCTCCGTACAACGGTGATTCGCTGGAGAACTACTTGTACGTGGAGAGGAACATGAACAGCAGAAGATCAGTGGCGCAGACTGCGATTGCTGACGGCACCATCAAGCCGTTGACCATAACGGTGTACCCATTGATGGGCATCAACACCTTCACCTTCCCATCAGCGGTGGCTAACGGCGAGGCATCACAATCGCTGTTCTTACCGGATGAGATCATCAACAGACATGCGAGATTCCCAACATTGACGGCCAACATTCGGAAACGCCGTGGTGAGAAGGTGGCCATCAACGTACCGCTCTACAAGGATACAAATACGTTATCCATTGACGAGTCAATTCCAAAGGGACGCTCCCTGTTCAAGCACGACGAAGAACCAGAGCTCGGTGCAGCACTGCCAGGGCATATATACATGGACTCCATGGGATTCGGTATGGGATGCTCATGTCTACAAGTAACAGTGCAAGCACCAAACTTGAACAGAGCTCGTTACCTCTATGATTCATGGGCTAATTTTGCACCATTGTTCCTAGCATTGACGGCAGCAGCGCCAGTGTTCAAAGGCCACTTAGCTGACCAGGATGTCAGATGGAACGTCATTTCTGGTGCTGTTGATGATCGTACTGCCTACGAACGTGATGTTAAGCCTCTGCATAGCGATGGCGCATTTGGTGGAATGACAGACGAAGCCAAAGCTCGGGCTCAGAAGATCCCTAAATCTCGTTACGATGGCATCGATTCTTTCCTTGGTGATATTCAGAACGATTTCGCAAAAGATGGGGAAGCAGTGTTCAAGTACTTCTCTCCAGAGTTGAACGACATCAGCCCTCCAATCAACGAGAGGACGCTACAGAGACTCGCACAGGAACCTCAGTTTGACCCTGTCCTTGCTCGTCACTTCGCACACTTGTACGTTCGTGATCCAATTGTGATCTTCGAAGAACGTATACACCAAGACAATGACGATGAAACGGATCACTTTGAGAACATTCAATCCACCAATTGGCAGACGTTGAGGTTCAAGCCACCAACTCAACAGGCAACACCGGATAACAAATCCGTTCCAGGATGGAGAGTGGAATTCAGAACAATGGAGATCCAGCTCACAGATTTTGAGAATGCTGCTTTCTCAATCTTCATTGTTCTCCTGGGACAGGCAATACTTGCGACAGATTCCAACTGGTACATTCCAATCTCCAAGATTGAAGATAACATGAAACGTGCACATCACAGGGACGCAGTATTGAAGGACAAGTTCCATTTCAAAGCTGATATCAACTCGCCAACATTCGACACGGTGGAGCTGTCACTGGACGAGATTGTCAATGGCTGCGATAGCTTTATCGGATTGATGGCACTTGTGAAGAAGCACTTGGAATCTCGCTTTGGAATTACTGGTGACGACTTATCGCCAAAGGGTACACACGCTAGGATCTACTACTACTTGGAATTGATCTCCAAGAGAGCCAGTGGCGAGCTACCAACTGCTGCTAAATTCATAAGAAGGTTCTTGCTCGACCATAAGGACTATCAACACGACTCCAAAATAACTGCTAGAATGAATTACGATTTGTTGAACAAGTTGAATAGCATTTCAGAACTTGGTGAAGATGTTAGACAGTTGTTGGGTGATGACATTGGCAACTACTTGATAAACAACCCAAAGGCTTAATGACAACTAGAGGGAGGAGACTACGCCATTTTGCATATAAACATAGACAACGTCCTATACAGTATTTAATTATAAAAGAGTTCAGCTCGTGATATCGATGGATATGACGACCAAGACAGCTACAAGCCATAGATTAAAATTAAACCAAACAATCCGTTGAGGAAGGCCATGGTGTAGTTCTCTTAACATTTTTATATATCTAGTAAAAACTCTCTCTAGAAACATTCTAGTTCCAGAAACCCCCAAAGACCAAAAACATCAATTGCATATCACAATCTCTGTTCCTTTCTTTCTCTTTCAAAAAGTGTATGAAAAAGATGGTAATAATGCAATCGTAAGAACGTAAATCAGTATTTTCATGAACATCACATTAGACATAGCAGTTGATGCAAGTGTCAATTAAAACAAGGTGAAAAAAAAGGTGTCATAGCAAGAGCACACCGCTTAGTAACGGTAGTGGTCAGCCTTGTATGGACCCTCAACTGGAACACCCAAGTACTCGGATTGGACAGGAGTCAAAGTGGTCAACTGAACACCCAAGTGCTTCAAGTGGAAACGAGCAACAGCCTCATCCAAAACCTTTGGCAAGACGTAGACTTGACCCTTCTGGAATGGACCAGTCTTGGAGAACTCAATGTTCTTAGCTCTGAAGGCCTCATCGTTAGCCTTGAACAAAGCGATTTGAGCCAAGACTTGGTTAGAGAAAGAACAAGACATGACAAAGGAGGAGTGACCAGTGGCACAACCCAAGTTGACCAATCTACCCTCAGCCAACAAGATGATGTGACGACCAGACTTCATGGTGAAACGGTCAACCTGTGGCTTGATGTTGACGGTCTCAACGGCGTTGGCCTTCAACCAAGCAACATCAATTTCAATGTCAAAGTGACCAATGTTACAGACAATGGCATCTTCTGGCATTTGCTCAAAGTGGTCCTTGGTGAGGATATCTCTACAACCGGTGGTGGTGACAAAGACTTGACCAACGGAAGCGACATCCTTCAAGTCAGCAACTTGGTAACCTTCAACAGCAGCTTGCAAAGCGTTGATTGGGTCAATCTCAGCAACAATGACACGGGCACCCATACCTCTCAAGGCCATGGCACAACCCTTACCAACATCACCGAAACCAGCAACGACGGCAACCTTACCAGCAAGCATGACGTCGGTGGCACGCTTGATACCGTCAATGAGGGACTCTCTACAACCGTACAAGTTATCAAACTTGGACTTGGTGACGGAGTCATTAACATTGATGGCTGGGACCTTCAAAGTAGCCTCCTTGACCATCTTGTACAAGTGGTGAACACCGGTGGTGGTCTCCTCGGACAAACCGAAACAGTCCTCCAACATCTCTGGGTACTTCTCGTGGACGAGGGAGGTCAAGTCACCACCGTCATCCAAGATCAAGTTCAACTTCTTGTTGTCCTTGAAGGAGAACAATTGCTGCTCGATACACCACAAGTACTCCTCCTCGGTCTCACCCTTCCAAGCAAACACTGGGACACCAGCGGCGGCAATGGCAGCGGCAGCGTGGTCTTGGGTAGAGAAGATGTTACAGGAAGACCAGGTGACCTCGGCACCAAGAGCAACCAAAGTCTCGATCAAGACAGCGGTTTGGATGGTCATGTGCAAACAACCGGCAATTCTAGCGCCCTTCAATGGTTGTTGATCAGCGTACTTTCTTCTGATCTCCATCAAACCTGGCATCTCGTTCTCAGAGAGCTCAATTTCCTTACGGCCAAAGGCGGCAAGGGAGATATCAGCGACTTTGTAGTTAACAGCTGGTGCAGACATTTCTGGTGTGTAGTGAAGTTTAGGCAATGGATTGTCTAATGAGGGAAAGTGAAAGGAAGAAGGAGAAGAAGAAGAAGACAGAGGGAAAATTTTCAAAAGCGCCAGAAATTTTTTTTCACATGTCGATGTTCTTTTTTCTTGTCTTGTCCGCACATGTGAACGAGCGGACAAAAGAAAAAGCAATTTAAACGAGACATGTGGATGAAGGACATTTGTTTGTTTACTTTTCAGTTGCTAAGCTGTTCGGGTTTGTAAGCACGTTCCTTGAGAGCAATGAAGGAGCAATGCCTCGTGGTGTCTGTATGAGCTGTGGTTTCCATCGTGGTTTCCATCGTGGTTTCCATGGTGAGCGATGTGCTGGTGCCTGTTGCAGTTCTCAACCATTGTGCTCATCTGTTTGGACTAGCACTATGCGGTTCCTTGTGTGAGATGGTTGGTTTAGTGTAGAATTGTTGGTGCTGTGTGACTAGGAGTCTGTTAAAGGTGATAAGCGTAGCTGGGTTTCGCTGATCTCCAGTACATGAGCCATTGTGTGCGATGCATCCAAGCACGGGTAGAAGACCATTGGATCGTGGCAAGTGGTGTATCTGTTTCAGAGAGGTAGCTGACGCGTAGTGGATGGTGAGACCCGCGAACGTTTTGTAGGTTATGTGGGTTTTCTGTATTTTCATAAATTCATACTCCTCATCCTTCTGACTGCTTGATACGTGAATGTCTCCATGCTCAAGCAAGGCTAGCCATTGATGAGCGAACATAGTGTGCAGGAGACTGTGAGAAGGGCGTGGATTGCTCGAGCGGAAGAACAGAGCACGGTGTCAAAGCGTTGTAGCGCGCAAGGCGATGAGGAGCACGCCGGAAAGCACCGGTTGAGCGATGATGAGGATGGTGGCCAGCCGACGAAGCTTCATAAGCTGCGTGCTGACGAGTGCAAAGATGAAACAAATAGAGGTCCCCAATTAAAAGAATCAGTTGTTATTGAGGGCTTGGAACCTGGTTCTAATCGTGTACCTATGATCCCTCCTGATAGTGCACCAACAGATCGAGATTCGTTGAATTTGAACAAGGGTGATGGAAAAGACATTGATGATGATATCGCTGTTACACTGTCAAGCTTCTGCTCCACAGATTCAGATTCAGATATTGAGATTGTGTCTGTTAAAAAGTTGAGGCAATCACCTTCTGAAGGACAAGATGCACGTATTGTTCATAGGGATGAGAGATATGATGTTCCACCAACTACACGCAGTAAAGAGGAGCAAATACAACGTGGCTCGAACCCTGTGCCATATGCCAGCGTTAAACCACCGTTTCAACCAATTCACAATGAGCTGTATGATGGGAAAAAGAAATTGCCAGGCGCCATCACTCTCTCCGATATTCTTTGCGTGCCTAACTTGGAGAGGTCATATCTCTTTACCTTCAAATGTGACTTGGGATTTGTATACGATAATTTGAACCCGGCAAACAAAACCCATGTGACTGTTGTTGTTCAGCAGGAGAGTTTATGGGGGGAAGGTGTGGCTTACAGGGATGCCACCTACCATTGGGATATTGTTGAGGTTAAAATGGCACCATTCACGTCGCACCATTCAAAATTATACATCAACGAGTTTAAAGATGGGTCCATTAAATTGTGGATAACAAGCTCTAATTTGACAGAAGAAGAATTCACCATGAACAACCAGATGTACTGGTCAAGTCCACTGTTAAAGGACAAAAGACCAGGTGGTACACCAATGACCAGTTTTCAAACCCGGCTAATTCAACAGCTGCATAATTACAGAAAGCCCGTATTCAACTCCATTGCAAAGAAGCTCAGATCTTTGGACTTTACATCAATTGTCGGCGAGTACATTCCATCTGCAACCGCATCACATACAAATAGCTTTGGGTTTTTACCACTGATCTCTTCCCTAGAGGAGCTCAACGAGATCCCAACTGAGCACTTGCAACATCGGAAACTATTGTACCAATCGTCGTCTATAGCATCTCCTTATAGTCATTCAAAGATAACCCATAAAGCTGCAAACATCTTTACTCATGGACTAGCACCTCTAATGTTGGGAGCTTGTGGGACGAATCCACTTGGCAATATGATGTTCATCAAACCTGGTCAGGACTCCCTCAGTGATATGCTTGGAAGGACAAACAGCGAGCTATTGGTTGTGTTCCCGACGGAGGATGATGTTGTTAACAGTAAGTTTGGACGCCAGTCAGGCGGGTGGTCTGTGTATAATCCAAGTTCGGAGAAAGGTCGTGATCAGGATAAGATCTTACGACCAGTGTTCCACAGAAGTGTGACCAGGCAACGTGGGTGTAATCCGAGTCACACAAAGTTCATCATGATGACTTCGGATAACTTCCAAACCCTTGATTGGGTTCTTTTCACAACACATAACATGTCCAAGCAGGCTTGGGGAACACCGCCCAACGCGAAGTCAAAGGGGCTAGAAACGACGGTTTCCAACTACGAAAGTGGTATATTGATAAGTCAACGACATTATCCCGGTAAGAAACTGGTCCCCGTGGAGCTGGGAGAGGATTACTCCTCTTTACTTGAACACGAGGTTCCGATCATCCTACCTTTCAAAGTGCCTCCGCCCAAATACAGCGACACGGATAAACCGTGGTGTATCTTTGGCTGAACAGAGCAAGATGGCGTTGATGTTAGCAGGCTTTGTGTTAGAACAGCACTCCCACAAGTGTAATCCTAACATACTATCAAGCGCTTTGCGTCAGCTTGGCGAGGCTTCACTTCTTTGACACATTCGCCGTGGCCGCGATACTATGCGCAGCAGGGCTCTTGACGTATCACACGGCGTGATTGTGGGCCAACAGGCTAGGACTGTTACTTAGGAGTTGATCTGGAAGCTCATAGTCTTCATTACACCGGTGCTTACATCGAAATGGTTAATCAACTGGTTACTTGAATATCACACCGGTCAACCCGGTTTTCGTACACTTTTCAGCCAGTAGCGACCACGACAAATGGATCGAACCAGTTTGGCGGACTAAGGCGAAATGTAACGCGTAAAAGATGAGGCGCATCAAACTGTTTAAAAACGATTTGAGTATTCTATACTTGTCAGCACAACACATGCCCAGCTTGGCTATTGTTTCTCACCCACGCCGTTACTCTGTGTAACTGTACAGTGCGGACTACGAGGTCAACAGTTAGTTACTGATTTGCTGACCGTTGGCACATGGTCTTTACCGGGCATGGCAGCCCTCGTCTACTTCTGGCGACGCACACCTGGTTACTCGTGCCCCCGCCCCCTATTTTTTCACACCTGTGCAACACACTTTCCCCTTTGGGCGGGAGAGTTTTGGCCGTTTTTTGACACAAAGGTGAATGCATCCCACGTCATATTTCCAAGGGAATCAACGAGATCTCTCGCCGGCTGGGTAGACATGTTTGGCCGACTTGTGCCTGTGTGTCCTATCAATTAGCCGTCAATATCAATCTAAACACTAAAATGTGGTAATAAAAATGTGTCTCCCTCGACCATCGGTTCGTGTTTTCTTTTCTTTCCCCTAATCCCCCCCCCCCTTTTTTCGTCTCAGGTTAGTGCCAAAATAAAGACCGAAAGACGTTTGTCGAACGACGTCGACACAAAATTTTCAAGCAGCCGCCAAACTTAAAAATTTTTCTCGACGTTTGTCGTACACGAAAAAAAAAAAAAATCCCCAGCGATTGGCTAACGCAATTTTTCAGTTCTGACACAATTTCTGTTTTTCTCAACTGCACGCGCAAGTCCAAGGAGAGTTTTTGCCAAAATCTCTCCTCTTTGACCAAAGAAGCGTCACGAATTTACCTTTATCACAATTTTCCATTTATTTCACTTTTTTTCTTCCATCTCCCTTTTGTTCGACAACAACATTCAACACCGGGGAATAAGGCACAAACAAAGCAGAACCAACTCCATTGGTAGTCTTCTTCGATAGGTACAGTGTCAGTGTGTGAATTCCGCTTTTTTTTTTGTTCCGGGGAGAGGTGAAAGATCGTGCGCTCTGCCTATTTACATTCATTCCGTCTCTGCTGTTTTGGACTGTGACAAAAAGGTGTCACCAAAAACGGTATCCTTGATTTTTTTGTGCCCTACCTCGAGAAAGGAAAAAAAAACGCTGGCCGAGGGTTTTTTGTGTCGTCGATTGTGCCCGCTTTCTATCTGAACCGAACCAGAAACATAAGAGTATCACATAAACTCTGGAGGTGTATTATTATATCGGTTACTAAATTTTAGCCTTTGTTTACAGATGACGAAAGTTGTTGAAGAGACGGTATCGCCTACCAACTCCACTGGCACGAGTGAACCATTTGAGCGCAACTCAGACTCCGATGTCACTACTGTTGGTGATGACATTGCTGGGGCTACGGCTCCCTCCGACTTGAAGCAGTTGGAGAGGTCTGACTCGAGGGCCTCTATTACTCTACCACCAATACAACATGTATTGCGTACTATTGATGACTACCAGAATCAGCAAAAGCTACAAGACTCTGAGCTGTTGCTTGCGTTTGGTGAGCGTAACAACTCCACTGGTCATGTCAACGTTCCTTCACAAGACGGCGGTAGTGAGGACGAACCATCCCAGCCACGCTCTTTGTCAAACCCTCCTAGTTTCGACTCTCATCCGCACATGAGAACGTCGTATTCTTCGCCTCAGTTGCAAACAGTTTCTGGGTTGAAGGATGCAAACGCAACGACGACTTCGGCTTCTGGTAAGCCAAGGCCAGGACGTTCTCAGAGATCACAGTCCTACGTCAACAAAAAGACCAAAACCGGTGAGAGTTCACGGGCGTCTAGTTTGGAATCCACAGACTCTGCCTCGTCGTCAGGGGCAAACACTCCAAACTCTACAAATTCTAAGAAGCGTACAAACTTACCAAGGGAAACGATCGAGATACTCAACGATTGGATCGTCAACAACCTGGACAATCCATATCCAAATCACACGCAGAAGAGAATGCTGTTGGAAAAAACCGGATTGAGTAACGTTCAGCTGAGTAACTGGTTTATAAACAAGAGACGTAGAAGGTTGTTCTCGAATTTGAGCGGGAACCAAGGATATCCAATCAAGAAGAAAAGATTGATTGACCGTATATGACAACATTCACCAGCTGATCATTCTCACTTTGACTTGTTGTGTGTTTCGGGTTTGTTTTTTGTCATTTGTTTTCTTATTCTTTGTTCTTCGCAGCACCAAACCCATCGATCCTTGTTTTGTATATGTGTTATCTAAACTTTTGTTCATAGAATGATTTTGAATGCAATGGGTTATTCGTCCACTAGAATTCTCGAAAGAGAGTTATTCTCACGTTACAGTATGGGGTATTGTCTGCCTACTCTTCCCAGACGTTTCATTAGACATTAATTAGAGATAGATGTATTTCTTGGTAATCATGCTTTTACTCAATCAACAGTTGGGGATAAATTTGTTGCTTCACCTGGAATATAAGTATCGGTTTGTGGTTTTTCAACTCTTCTTGCACCAAATCTAACGTTATTCCAATTTGTAGTAGCCATGTTCTCCATCTGCGGCAATTTGGCATAGTATTCTGCAGCCTCTGTTGAAGCCTGACCACCGTTTTTACCCCTTCCGAACTGTCTTCCTTCTTCAAACCCTGGATCCAAATCTATTTGGATCTGTCTACCGTCTAATTTCGTACCATTCAAGTATTTCACAGCGTTGACCGCATCTTGTGGATCGTGATAAATGACAAAGCAAAATCCACAGTAGTTACCCGTGAATCTGTCCAATCCCATGATGATCTGCTTGATGAACCCAACTTTGGAGAAGAGTTCGTCAATACGTTCCTCAGTGGTTTCAAACGATAACATGCCAACGTAAACCGTCCCACTGTTGTACGATTTACGCAAGTCTTCGAGCCCATTGGGTTTACGTCTCGCACGCTTCAAAAGGTAATTTGAAGGTCTGTCAAGCCTTTCTGTGGAGTTCGAGAAGTTGATCTCATCAAATTCTGCAAGGGACATTGCTCTTCGTTTCCACTATAGTTCTCTCTACGCTTCCCGCAACACGTTGCCGCCCTTGTTAACAGATATCTTGTTTTGCAAGCCAAACCGTACACAAATTGAGTGCGCAAAAAAATCAAGACATGATATCACCAAACAGGGAAATACGAGGGCTTTCTGTATCAGTTTCGGGGTACAACTGTTAGGGGCCACACAATTTGATTTTTTGTTAATCGGATCTCCTCCGTGAACGGGATTATCAAAGCCTGCCTCACTGCCACCCCTTTTCCCTCTCCCGGACTTAACCCCGTTTGAGGGAGAACGGCAGCACCAAGCTCCACAACGCTCTGCGTTTTCCTCCAAGAACAAGAACAAGAACCAGAACAAGAACAAGAACAAGACTGTAATTTAAGAGAAAGGGCCCTTCTAATCATTGAACCTCATATTTGGTGAGTTGAATGTGCCTGATTCCTGAATAGTAAAAACACCCATTCATGTGTCTCCCTCTCCAGTAGGACATACAATTCATGTAAGGCTAAACGATCCAATCACACATCGCCCACGTTGTATGTTTCACCAACCAGTTTCCCAGGATCCTCTCTTGTGGGAGTTTGGAAAGTTAAAGGTGAATTAGTGTGCGTTTAACGAGAAAAGCAGTGTGGTTTGTGTGTGCTTTTCGCCAACACCCCCCTAAATCCCATCAATTTGCGAGTGAAAAAAAACTGATTCCCAAAAAATTCCCCTTTCTCCCTAAAACCACAAAACATTCCACCAACGAGTACTCTCTCAGACCTCTCACCCTTCAATTAAACACCTACCGTTCTCCCTCTCTTGGTATACTACAGCTTAGTCCGTTATCCACAAAAGTCGGTCTAGCATTTTCCCTCCCGGTTTAGTTATCTTCTGAAGTCTCCTTTTCTGTTTACACAATTCTTCCCAGTTTCTTTTATTTTCTCGCTCTACAGTTGCACACAAATAAGTTATGGGAAACAGCCCGTCTAAGAATGCCAGCCCCAATACCCACACTCTTCAACAAAGCATGAATGGGCTCGTCGTCAATGGTGACGAGCCAGAGCCAGATGATAGGAGGGAAACTTCCTATCAATCAAATAATACACAACACTCTAAGAGTGATTTAACAACATTACGTTACAATAAAAACAAACTCCAGACGAAGGTTTCCCCTTCTCATATGAAGTTTCAGTATGCAAATGATACAGCAAACAGCTCAGATGATACCATCAGTGAGAATACCACCGATCCCTTTGAAGTTGAGATTGGATTATCCATGGCAAAGGCACTAAAGGTTTCTGGGAACACTCGCTCTCAAGCCACTACGGCTACTCTGCCTGTTGTCGGTACTCCAATTCTCTCTTCAAACTCAAACAGTTCGAATGCACCAGAAGAGGTGTCCTCCTCGTTTAGTGATGTCTTCACATTAGGCAGCTCCACCAGTTCGTTGTCCGTGACGCCACCTTTTGGCAACCTCGCCCCTATTTTGGAGGAGGGAACCAAGAAGGCCAAGCAACATCTTAGTCGTTCCCAGGCAGACATTGATCTCGATGCCATCATCGAGAAGTTGTTGCAATCTGCTGGGAGATCTCCAGGAGTCAGTCCCGTCTTACAAGGCAAACATTCACCTCGCTCTCGTGAAGAGTTCTTTGTCTCACCAAGAGAAATATCAGCCATCTGTTCAAAGGCCAGAGAGATCTTTTTGGATCAACCAAGTTTGTTGAGATTAAGCGCCCCGGTTAAAGTGGTAGGTGATTTACATGGTCAGTTCAACGACTTGTTGAGGATAATGAAGCTCAGCGGATTACCGCCACAGTCAAACTACTTGTTTCTTGGTGACTATGTCGATCGTGGTAAACAATCATTGGAAACGCTTCTTCTGTTGCTCTGTTTCAAGATCAAATACCCAGAGAACTTCTTCATGTTAAGAGGTAACCACGAATGTGCAAACATCACCAAGATTTATGGGTTCTATGACGAATGCAAAAGAAGATTGAATTTGAAATGTTGGAAGACATTTGTCGATGTCTTTAACACTTTACCGATCGCTGCGCTTATCTCTGATAAGATCTTCTGTATCCATGGTGGACTCTCTCCGAACTTGCATTCCTTGGAACAACTTGAGCACATACGTAGACCTACCGATATACCAGAACAAGGTTTATTGGCCGATCTACTCTGGTCTGACCCTGATCCGACGGTGGCGGAATGGTCTAAGAGTGACCGTGGTGTTTCCTATTGCTTTGGTAAAAAAGTGGTTGACAACTTTACAAAGAAGTTCAAATTGGATTTGATCATCAGAGGCCATATGGTTGTGGAGGATGGTTACGAATTCTTTGCAAAGAAGAAGTTGGTTACTGTTTTCAGCGCACCGAACTACTGTGGTGAATTTAACAATTGGGGAGCTGTGATGAGCGTCGACAGCAAGCTATTGTGCTCGTTTGAACTTTTGAAACCGCATAAGAAACCTTGAATTACCCATCATATGCTGCTGTTCCCTCCAGCGAGGGAGCATACTGAACTTGATATTGAGAATTGGCGGCCAGCTTTCATATCTGGATGTTATGATGATGTCCCCAAGTTTATGTTTGAAACGACCAATTCACTTATATCTATCTTTTTCTACTCTATTAACTTTATCTTTTTTTATTCCTTTATCTCTTTTACATATGACATCTCTTTTATTGAAGTTTGATACATATCTTTTGTTTACGTCGCTGAGCCTTCACGTGCAGTTGATCCGCTTCCAGTAGATGTAAGTTGTTGACGAGCTTGATGTTGTGATTCAAGCCCTCGTGATGGTGATAGGCGCCATTTATGATCCAACGAGACCAAATCGAAGAGATTACTTAACAGTACATATGTCACACCACTTTAACTGTGGTTGCTGTTATACACTAACCATTTGGATGCTATAGCTGACATAAATGTGCCTCGGTGTTTTAAAGTGCAAGACTCAACAAAAAATGCAAACCGGGTATATACTGCTAGTTAAACCCTCTCTGCCGTTAAATATTTGATCTTGAGGTGTATCAAAAGCGCGCCAAACACCAATGCTCTCCATCGGTCAAATTGCTAGTTTTGACACATGCTTCTTGGCTTAAAGTAAGGTGACAGTGATTAAGCGGCTCCTTGCTGCTTGACTGTACGATCAGTCATTTCATGGAGTACGTTGGCTATAGCTTGGACAATCTCTTAATGGTGCAGACTCTCTCCCTGCAAATGTTGAAGTGCGTTTATACAGCTGGCGTAGCAAACCGAATCCTCATATCACTCCTTGACGATTTAAAAGGCGGTACAGTGTACAACTACGGCAAAGGAGGCGCTCCAAAGTGACACAATACCTCCTACCTATTGTGAATAGGCAAGGAAACCCTCCTTTCCGTAATAGTTATTCGGTCGTCAGATACCTTACAGCGCTAACAGCAATTTGTCTGGGCTGTAAACCGTTTGAAAGGCGTAAGCTGTGACGCCTAAAGTGTTTGAACATTGAAGGCGGGAAATCCCGTCACCGGCGACCCGCCGTTGGACCTTACATGGGTTCTAACGTGTGGTATTTTTCTTTGCAAAAAGGGCGGTTCATACAGCTGTGAACTCACATAACGAGGTGAACCAAGGAAGCCAAAAGCCGATTGGTGGTGGAGAGGTGGCCCTGGTGGAGCAGAGAACAGCAGCTTGGAGCTCTTCATATAGTGCGAGAAACAAAACAAGGAGACCAAAAAAGATGGGCAGAAAAGAAGGGTTCTTTCCTGCCTAATTGGATTCTTCTCCACCGCGGTGATGGCCCCATGCGGTGGCTGCCCTTGGCCTCGGGTTCCCTAACCCGGGTTCTTTTTCGTTTTCCTCATTTCTTTTCCCATGCATCGGGCGAAAGTGGTGAAAGGCGCAGCTCCGAAGAATTACCACATTCGCTTCCCTTTTCGCAAACGTCATCTGGATTTCGTGCAATCGGCTCACCAGTGGGGCCTGTGTAGGCTATTTATTACGCCATTTTGCGCAACAGGCGTTACAGGCGGCGCAAACAAACAAACAAAGTAACGAAAAAAGCAGATCATTAGCGTTTTGAAATACCGGGGACATAAAAAGCAGAAGACGAAAAAGGCATGTAACACTGCAACAAACAAACGGCAAAACTTTAATAAGGACAATTTAGACGTAGGAAGGAGAAAAAAAAATTGAAAATTGCAATTCTTTTCGGTGTACGTTTTGCAACGCTGAAGACAACTCCATCTGTGGTTTTTACAGTGAATACAGCACATTTAATCACAGTAGATTCACTCCATTTACAAGCTGAGTCTATAGAGGAGAAATCATAATTTGTGACATCCCAAGGAACTTCCACAAGGCGCATTTTCCCCTTCGTTGTGTTTTGTTTTTCTTGCCAGCTTTCTTTCTTTTTTTGTCTTGCAAGCAGTCATACTTTGCCGGAGGAGAGAGAAAGAAAGACATAGAGAGAAGTAAACAATAGGCACAGAATTCAGAATACGCAAAGAATTCAGGAGCCACTGTTACACCAGCCAAGCTGAAAGGATCTGTCACTGAACTGAACTTGGTCTTTTCTCGTTTCTCCTACGGAAGCGTTTGTTTTATCGAGTTACGGTTATAAGGGGTCGCTAGTTACATCCAGGACATCTCCGAGTATTAATAGCAGACAGAGAAGGAGACAAAGAGAGAGAGGGGGCAGAACCAACATGGAGTCCTCACCATCGATTTGGGATATCTACTCTGGGGCCAAGAAGCTTTTGGCACTTCAACCACGGATTGAGAATAGAACGTTAAGAGAGAATTGCAAGAATTCACAGCAGGCGCTGTCCAAGTCGACAACGGCGTGCTATTCCTCTGCCACCAGTGTTGACTCACTCAGCCCACTGAGTACGGACTCAAACAAACACAGCGTGGAATCAACGTCGTCAGTGGGCGAGCCACCAATGAGCTATACCAATTTCGGAGGCAAGCAGTCCAACTTGACCAAGGGGTTGAGTCTGGGACACAACAATGATCAGAACGGAGAGATTAATACCACATGGGACTTGGATCTTGGGTTTGAGATTGACAGCAAGGGCATCAGCTTTGGGAGCTTGTCGACCTTGGACAACAAGCTCGAACATACAAACGAGCCGACAACGTCGGTACAGCCGAAGCAGATCATGCAACAGGATCATCAAAGCCATTCTGCACATCAGTCCATGTCCACTGGGGTAAACCACATTGACCCTCAACAGCTATTACAGAAACAACTTCAACAACACCATTTGGATAACATGCAGAAATCACAGACAACGTTTAACATTTCACAGTCATTGCCAAGCGGTAACGGACAACCGATGAGTATACCTCAGAGACCTCAGCACATTCAAAGAACCGCATCATCGGCTTCGTTGTCCACCTCACTCACTAAGAAGAAAGTTTCATCATCTAATCCAAATACGGTTTGTTTCAACTGTCAAACTCAAAAGACACCTCTCTGGAGACGTGATCCTAATGGGAATACCTTGTGTAACGCTTGTGGGCTGTTCCAAAAGCTTCATGGAACCATGCGTCCGCTCTCGTTGAAGACAGATGTGATAAAGAAGAGAAACTCTAGACGCTCCAGTGTATCTCAGAGTAAAGACTCGAAATTAATGCACAGTTTGGAGAAGAACATCACACTTTACAACATTACGCCTGGTCCATCCGGGAACTCTCCTGTCAACTCCATGAGCTCGCCAAATTCGGCGGGCTCAACGCCACAGAGCTCCTCAAACGTTGGTCCACAACGGTATAAGAACGTTCCAATCCTACCCAAACCTACATCTGCGGCTTCACTACCCACTGGTGGGAACTCTAGTGCTCGTCCAAAGCAACTACGCAAATCGTCCGCGACAGGGTCTCCTTATGAATATTCATTCAACGCACAATCGCCGTCGATGTTCATCAACACACCATCTCCTGCAAATACCACATCACCAATGTCACCATCAGTCGCCACTATTCAACCTGGGTCCATAAGCATTGCGCCAGGGGTTGCTGGCTCGTTACCAAGCAATATGTTGTCCACCAGCGCAAGTGCGACAAATCTGACAAACAGTTTCAACCAGAAGAGAATCCCGCAGATGTTCCAGAGACGTGAGTCCAACTTCGCCTCGACCAGCTTGAACAACAGCAGTGGGTTTGTTAACCCAAGCTTACTGCTGAACAGAGACTACGACCCAATGCAACTGGATTCGCCAACGGACACGGGCATGACCAACGACCTGGATTGGTTAAAGTTTGACATATGATACTAATTTCCGTTTCATGAGACGTATAATGATTATATATATGAGAAAAGATACACACCCTCCTAATTATCTCCTTTAACATCAAATCAATTGCAATTCCTCCAGTAGTTGATGGAACCGTCATAGCTCATCGAGTTGTGTGGTGTATGGATGTGGGAAGCTCGCCGTGCCGGTTCCCGGTGAGTGCTCCGTTTACGGCCTAAAATTTCCCTTCGAGTCATCATCGCAGCCCACGATTTTTGATAGCTTCCGATGTTCCTCTTCTTCTCCTTCCTGCTTCAACCAAGTGGGAGAAAGCATTCCAAAGATCTCGATCAACATGGCTGACTTACAACACTGGGTTGAGCTGCTAAGCAGCCCAACGCTTTCTGTGCTACCACACGATTACATTCGTCCAACTGATAACAAGACCATTGAGGCTACGTTGAGCTTCAACGTTCCCTCTGACGATGAGCTGAACTTGATAGCCAAGGAGGTTGAAGGAGCCTCACCGTTTACCGTGGGCCTCGCTGTTTTCGGTACCTTGATATACAGACTGACCGGTGATGATGACATCGTTATCTCAACCGATATTGCTGCGAATGGCCAGGAGTTTGTCGTGAGATTCACCATCTCGCCAACGGCCTCCTTTATCGACCTTGTCAAGCAAACCACGGAGCTCTTCAACACAGGCGCCTCCAAGGCGGTTGACTATGACGAGCTATCTCTGGCAATCAAGAAATCAAATAAGCTTGAGGGCAAGCCACAGCTCTTTAGATTGGCGTTCCAACACGGTAATGACCACCAGTTCTTATCAGAGTACGGGTCAACAAGAGACATCTCTGTGTTTGTAAATGGTTCGACTTATGACGTTTACTTCAATGCACTTCTTTACAAAGAGGAGAGAATCGAGTTCCTTGGTGCTCAATTCAACCAATTCTATCAAGCTGTCATTGAGGATCCATCAATCCAGATCACTAAGGTGTCACTTGTCACTCCTACTCAAAATGACATTTTACCAGACCCTACAAAGGACCTGGACTGGTCAGGCTACAGAGGCGCTATTCACGACATCTTCCAAGAGAACGCTGCCAAGTTCCCTGATAGAGTGCTGGCCATCGAGACTCCTTCTTTCCTCGCACCAGAGCAGAAGTCCCGTGAGTTCACCTACAAACAGATCAACGAAACCTCTAACATTGTGGGAAACTACCTGGTCAAGACTGGTATCCAGAGAGGTGACATTGTCATGATCTACTCATCTCGTAGTGTCGACTTGCTGGTGTCTGTGCTCGGTGTGTTGAAAGCTGGTGCCACTTTCTCTGTCATCGACCCTGCTTACCCACCTGCTCGTCAGAATATTTATTTACAGGTTGCCAAACCAAAAGGTCTCATTGTCATCAAGAAGGCTGGTGTCTTGGACCAATTGGTTGAGGATTACATCAAGAATGAATTAGAGGTGGTTTCTCGTATTCCTCAAATCGAACTCCAAGACGACGGTTCCATCCTCGGTGGTGCTTCTGAAGGCTCCCAGGACGTCCTTGCCAACATTCCAGCCACACCAACTGGTGTGCTGGTTGGCCCTGACTCGAACCCAACTTTGTCCTTCACCTCTGGTTCAGAAGGTTTACCAAAGGGTGTCTTGGGTCGTCATTTCTCGCTGGCTTACTATTTTGATTGGATGTCCAAGACTTTCAACCTCTCTGACAAGGATAGATTCACGATGCTTTCAGGTATTGCCCATGATCCTATCCAAAGAGACATGTTCACCCCTATTTTCCTCGGTGCCCAACTGCTTGTTCCAACAGATGATGACATTGGCACTCCTGGTAAATTGGCTGAATGGATGTCCAAATACGGTGCAACAGTGACACACTTAACACCTGCCATGGGTCAACTGCTGTCTGCTCAGGCAACTGCCCAGTTCCCTGCCTTGCACCATGCGTTCTTTGTCGGTGATATCTTGACCAAGAGAGACTGTTTGAGGTTACAGACACTTGCTGAGAACGTCAACATTGTGAACATGTATGGTACTACTGAGACTCAAAGAGCAGTCTCATACTTCGAGGTTGCTTCGAGATCAAGCGATCCAACCTTTTTGGAGAACCAGAAGGATGTTATGCCAGCTGGTAAGGGTATGCTCAACGTTCAGCTCTTGGTTGTCAACAGAAACGACAGATCTCAGATCTGTGGTGTCGGTGAAGTTGGTGAGATCTACGTCCGTGCTGCTGGCTTGTCAGAAGGATACAGGGGTCTTCCTGATTTGAATAAGGAGAAGTTTGTTCAGAATTGGTTTGTCGACAACGATACCTGGGTCGTTTTGGATCAAGAGAAGGACAAGGGCGAACCATGGAGACAATTCTGGAAGGGACCAAGGGATAGACTGTACAGAACAGGTGACTTGGGCCGTTACCTTCCAGACGGTAACTGTGAGTGTTGCGGTAGAGCTGATGACCAAGTTAAGATCCGTGGTTTCCGTATCGAGCTTGGTGAGATCGACACCAACATTTCCCAGCATCCGTTGGTTCGTGAGAATATCACCCTGGTTAGACGTAATCAGAACAACGAGCCAACTCTGATCTCTTACATTGTGCCAAAATCTGACGTTAAGGAGCTTGAAGACTTCAAATCGCCAATTGAAGATGTTGAGGATAAAGATGATCATGTCGTTACCGGCCTGGTTGGCTACAGAAACCTCATCAAGGATATCAAGGAGTTCTTGAAGAAGAGATTGGCCTCATATGCCATTCCAACAATCATCGTCCCATTCCACAAGCTGCCATTGAATCCAAATGGTAAAGTTGACAAGCCAAAGCTACAGTTTCCATCTCCTGCACAGCTTGAGACAGTAGCAAAGCATGCTGCTGCTGATCAGGATGATACCCAGTTCACTGAGACAGAGGCAAAGGTTCGTGATTTGTGGATCTCTGTTTTGCCTCAGCGTCCATCTACCGTGTCGCCAGACGATTCCTTCTTTGACTTGGGAGGTCACTCTATCTTGGCTACAAGAATGATCTTTGAACTGAGAAAGAAGTTTGTCATTGATCTTCCACTGGGAACAATTTTCAAGTATCCAACCATCAAGGCATTCGCCAAGGAGGTTGACCGTATTCAATCAGGTGCTCCGCTCGAGGCTACTGCTCAAGAGCAGAACGAGGATGAAGTCGTTAAGCCAGCTGAGTACTTCAAGGACGCCAGCGAGCTCTCAGAAACCCTCCTCAAGAAGTCATATCCATCAAAGGCTCCACTATCAAGCTCAGACGAGATCAACGTGTTTGTCACTGGTACCACCGGTTTCCTCGGATCCTTCATTGTTGCTGACTTATTGAACAGGGATGCAAAGATCAAAGTCTTTGCCCATGTCCGTGCTTCTGACAAAGAGAAAGGCTTCGAAAGAGTCCGTAAAGCAGGTCAGACTTACGGTATCTGGAAAGATTCATTTGAGTCGAGACTTGAGGTTGTCTTAGGTGACTTGTCCACTGAAAACTTTGGCTTATCTGAATCTGCTTGGTCTTCACTTGCAGACACTATTGATGTCATCATCCATAATGGTGCATTGGTTCACTGGGTGTACCCATACAGCAAACTTCGTGATGCCAACGTTATTGGAACCGTCAACACATTGAACCTCGCAGCCACTGGTAAGGCCAAGTACTTTGCCTTTGTCTCTTCAACATCCACACTGGATACTGAACACTTTGTTGAACTTTCTGACAAGCTTCTCTCTCAAGGGAAAGACGGTGTTCCAGAGTCTGACGACTTGTCAGGCTCTGCTTACGGCCTTGGTTCCGGTTATGGACAAAGTAAATGGGCTGCAGAGTACATCATTCGTCGTGCAGGTGAGCGTGGCTTGAGAGGTGCCATCATCAGACCAGGTTACGTTACTGGTGAGACAAAAACAGGGTCTTCCAACACTGATGATTTCCTCTTGCGTATGCTCAAGGGATGTGCTGAGCTTGGTGTTTATCCTAATATCAACAACACGATCAACATGGTTCCAGTTGACCACGTTGCTAGAACTACTGTTGCTGGTGCTCTTCACCCACCAAAGGAGAACGAACTGGCTGTGATTCAAGTTACTGGCCACCCAAGAGTCACTTTCACCCAATACATTGGTGCCTTGAACAAATTTGGCTATGGCTTGAAGGAAGATGACTATGTCACATGGAAGAAGGCTTTGGAAAGATACGTTGTTGAACAAACCAAAGAAAGTGCATTGTACCCGTTGTTGCACTTCGTCTTGGATGATCTCCCATCAAACACCAAAGCACCAGAACTGGATGACATAAATGCCCGCACATCGTTGAAAGCCGACGCTGACTGGACAGGCATTGACGCTTCTGAAGGTAAGGGTATCGATGAAAGACAGATCGCTGTTTACGTCTCTTACTTGATCAAGATTGGTTTCTTGCCAAAGCCAGCTGGACAAGGAGAACCTTTGCCAGAGGTTAAGCTCACTGAGCAACAATTCAAGCTCGTGACTTCTGGTGCTGGTGCTCGTGGTTCAGCAAACTAAGTCTCTACATAGACACAGTATACATGTACATCTTTAGTTAACATTCTATATCAGTAGTTCTAGTTCATAAACAGGAATTGTAAGTCATCAGGAGTGAGTCTGTTAATTGCAGCATCGTCGTGATTGATGGTAGCATGGATCATATTGGCCTTTTTATCCTGGAGCTCTATAATTCTAGATTCGATGCTATCTTCAATACAGAATCTTGTGATTTTAACAGGTCTATACTGGCCAATTCTGTGAACTCTGTCACCGGATTGCCACTCGACAGAAGGATTCCACCATGGATCCATGAGGAAGACCTGTGAAGCCTCACACAAGTTTAAGGCAACACCACCAGCTTTGAGAGAAACCAGAAATACTTCAACTTGAGGATTTTCCATGAAATGACGAATGGTATTGTCTCTTTGTATTGGAGACATTGATCCTTGTAGTTTCACAGTTTGGAAACCAGCTCTTTTCAGTCTCCATTCCACAAGATCCAGCATTGACGTGAACTGTGAGAACACAATGGACTTGATGGTGACACGATCAGATCTCAGCTTGTACAGTTCTTCAACCAAGGCTTCAATTTTAGTTGAGGATCTCCACTCACCTCCCATTTTGATTCTATTCACAATAGATCCCTTTTTAAACTGATCAACATTAACCTCAATTGCTGGTCCAGTGAGATCGATACTCAGGGCAATGTGACACACTGGGCATTCCAGCTTGTCGTCATTGCCACCGAAACTTTCAACATATTCTTTGATACACATACGACAGAACTTATGATGGCATTTGGACTCAATTGGCTCCTCAGCCTCGTCGTCACACAGCTGACACACGATTACACCATTGAGCCCCTCATTACCGAGCTCTGAGTTGTTGTGAACACGTCGGAGAACCAAGTCTGGGTGATCAGCCAACTGTCTCATTCTCGTGATGAGAGTGAAGATATTGGCATAATTATTCAACACCACACCTTCTGCAACGTATTCGTTGAATTTTCTCTTTGAATCAGAGTACAAGCTCTGGTAGAGATCTTTCTCTTCTTCGTTGAAGAAGTCTCTTCTGATCTCCTCAACCCTTGGAGGGAGACCCAAGTCATCAGCACGTTCAACCTTCGTTCTTCTAAGCATGATGTTCTTCAACAACGCCTGAATATTTCCAAATGACTGTAGACCATCACCTTGAATACCAAACTTCTGGATGTTCTTCAGCATGAAATGGTTGAAGAAGTTGGTGTGTTGCATCGGAACATGACCACAGTGGTCACAGTGTTTCCAATCAGTAAAGTTCCATTCTTTAGAACGGCATGGACACTTGGTGCAGAAGTAGTTTCCAAAGGGCTCAATGTCCAAGAACTTGATCAACGAGTACATCTCACCAATGCGGTTTTGTAAAGGTGTTCCAGAGAGACACCACCTCTTTTGAGTCTTGAGATTGTTAGCAGCTCTTGCCGTATTACTCTGACGATCCTTGATGTTGTGTGCTTCATCCAGAATGACTCTATAGAACTCCACCTGATGCAGTGCAGATTTCTCCTTTATCACAGTTCCTTTCCTCTTGAACCCATACCGTTCCTTTCTGAACACACTCTCCAGCACGGCAAATGTTGTCAATATCACATCAAACTCTGCGAGATCATTAGCACTTCCTGACCGATTTGCACCATGGAACACTGCAACCTTCAAAGAATCACCAGCATGTTGCGCAATCTCATTCTTCCACTGCATGAGAGCAACAGTCGGTGCAACCACCAAGTTTGGCCTCTTAGAACGATCGCTGAGAAACAGTGCTATGGTCTGGATGGTCTTACCCATACCCATCTCATCTGCAAGGATGCCTCCGTTGTAGATACTCGCCTCCTGCTTGATCAACCAGTTCAGTCCTTCCAATTGGAAAGGAAGCAGATTGATCTTCATACCGTCAGGCTGAGGAGCCCTTTCCGGCTCGATCTTCTTGGCTGCTATGAGATTTGGAAACACATCCTTCAGATCCGGATGCATTTCGTATAGCCTTTCAGTCATCCGTTGATGGTAGGGAATCTTTGGTTTCTTTGGCTTTGCAGTTTTCGCCTTCTTGGCCACTTTCCTCTTGGGCTTCGGCTCAGGCTTAGTATCAACCTCGTGATCAGACACAAGATCAACAGTCTCGAGCAACACAACGTCGTCATCATCGTCATCATGCGACCCGGCTACGTCCTGGAAATCCTTATCGTCCTCTTGGTTGTACTCGTCATAGTCATCGTCCAGCATCTTCAGCTTCCTCTTGGTCGTGGTCGCGGCGGCTCTCGTTGATCGTCTTGTTACCCGCTTTGGTACTGCCTTCTGTCCTACAAGAGCCTCCTCGTCGCTCGACTCAGCATAGCTCACAGTTCCTGTGGATCGGCGGCTTCTTCTTTTCCTCGTGGTCTTGTCCTGTACGTCCGGATCATCTCTTATAAATCCACCAGCGAGTGGAATATCACTGTCTGTCTCAGTCTCCGACGACATGGCCAAGCTCGTCCCAACGTCTAAAGGTATCAACAACGATCGTAGTCCACACTGATAACTACCGGACAAATTTTTGGTGGCGTACTCATGTCCAGAAGTTCGATGCATACGAAGGTTAAAGCAAGCTAATCGGTTGCGCGCACGTCATTGTCCAAACTGGGACATTTTGTCCGACCGATCAACGCCTCTCTCTTCTCGTACTTTTTTTTTCTGGTCTTGATTGAAAAAGTGTAAACAAAGCACCTACATCTGTAAACATAGGACTTGGACAGATTACGCAACGATGGAGGCTGCGGACAAACCTAAGAAGCGCCAGCGCATGAGTGTGGTCTGCTTGAACTGTAAAACCAGAAAGATCAAGTGTGACAAGAAGAGACCAGCTTGTTCTAATTGTGTCAAGTGCAATGTTGGCCATCTGTGTGAATATGAACCACCACACTGGGTGACAAGGGCATCGATGAGCTCTGCTTCCAATGCCATACAAGCCATAGCACAGCAAATTGAACAGAATGGAACTCCCCTACCGGCTCCTATACCACCCATCTCTGCGCCCTTAGCACCCTTCCCGGAGGCTGTGAATTCACCTCCACGGACAGCGTCTTCAGATAATGCAACTGATGCACAGATGGAAGTGAAGGAGGAACTGATGAGACTTCGGGCCCAGATCCAGTCGCTCCAGTCCTCTGTTGTTGGATCTCATGAACTGAACACCGACACTGTGGACTTTTACGAGCTGTACAATGCTCTTCATACAAAGAGGTCCAGCATGGAGGAGCACAAGCCTCTGTGCTCTGTGACACATTACAAGAAGGATCAGTTCTCAGCAGTTCTATCGGGTTACTTCAACCTGTGCTGTGCGCTATTCAAGGCCAAATACGGAGACTTGAAGAAGAAGCAGGAGTCACAAAAGACAAGGCTGGATGCTTCACTCACAGAGTTCCTTTATCTGTTGGGAGAGCGTGAGAGCCCTGAGGTTGTTGAAGTTGTGTCGAAGTTCATCCAGGAACGTATGCCAAAGAATGATCAAAACAACAACATATCGTTCTTACTGCCGAATAAGCACACAAAGGGCACAGATACAATCCTGTCACATGTGCAATCACTATTGCCAACGCTAGGTGTGATCAAGCTGTACCTGAATAGGTTCTACCAGTTCATATACCCGTACTTCCCCTTTGTTGATAAGAAAGTCTTGAACGAAAGGATCTTCACCATTCTTCAGGCACAGGACGATGAGTCTGCAGTGTCGATAGTAATAGACGACAAGTTCGATATGCTGAGTCTTGCACAACTGCTGATCATCCTGAGGATGGTCCACATAGCTCAACCAAGTTGCACAAAAGATGTTGTTTTGAAACAGAATCCGATATCTGCGGAGCTCATTGGAAGTGCCGTCACAATCATCTCTCTCTTCAAGATCACAAGAAAGACCAAGCTATCAGTCATACAAACGTTGATATTACTTCGATTGTACTTGCTCTACGCACCTGAGGATGGAGATGGCTCCGAGCTCACACAGTCGCAAACACTCTTTGCGATGATTGTTCAAAGTGCGTATGCGATAGGGCTCAACAGAGATGCTTCTAACCATCCACAGATGGAATTTGATAAGGAACTCTCCAATCTATGGCGTCGTGTGTGGTATGGTATTCTTGATATTGACCGCGTGATATCCACCCTAGCTGGCCATATATGCTGTATTCAGAATCTAAACTCTTACAACGTGGAGTTCCCCATAGTGGACGAAACTGATTCTCTGATAGACCGTGAAGTTACTGAAGAGTACCGTCGCTCCGAACCGTTGCTCAAAATGTACTACGACCTATCAAACATGGTCAACAACCTTGCAAATTCCCCTAGAGTATGTGACTTGTTGGACTTGTTGAATAGGATGGAAGTCTATGTCAACATCAATTATTCACTGGAAACAATGCAACCCCTAGTCGAGTCCACATCGGAGGCCGCTGATGTTACGAACTTCATCAACAGTAAGAGGTTCCTTCATCAGTTTCAAGTTTACTCATTTAAACTAGCCGTCTACCAATCTTTGACACTGCACTATGAATCATTGGAGTACCAGGACCCAAAGAAGTCAAGAGAGTTCTTGGTTAAAAACTTGGAAGCAGCGCAGAATGTCACCAACATTGCTTGCAAATTCCTGATGAACCAGTACAACAACTACGTGGACTCAGATCACAAGTTCTATCTCAACAGATTCATTGAGAACGTCTTTCAGCGTGCAATGAATACACTAATATCTTTGTTGATTCGTCTCTACCATGCATCTGACTTGATGTCCAGATCTATTGGGAACAACAGCGAAGCTTTGGTTGGTGAGATCACAGAGCTCACATTTAGGATTGCCTCAGGAGTAAATGTGCTAGTCCAGAACACACTAGGCACCAAATACTACCAGGCATTCAAGACGTCTCTCAAGTACAAATTCTACATTCGTTCTCTCAGGTCGGAAGGTTACAAATGTATCCGGGATACCATTGAGTTCATCGACGATAAATTCTTGGATGATCCGGCTGCTAGGCTTACCATGCTCTTGAGAATCGACCTGACTTTGGGGACATCTACAGCTTTGAAGCAATTGGATAGTATGAACTATCTAATCACTTCTTCCCGCGAGTTTTTGCTCCAAGTGAAGAACATCGTTTCAGGATTTGACATCTTGGAGGACAAGTCTTTGTCAAATGAACAAGTCATCTGGGAACCAAGCTTCAAGCAATTATCATTGAACGAAATTCGTGGAGTGCAGACTGTTGACGATGCAACGTTGTTACGTGGATTGGGTGTGGGTGAATTCTTACCTCGTGAAGTTGAGCAAACTTCTAACTCACTTAACCTAGGACAATTATTAACGGTGAACGGACCAGTCAGATTCGATGATCTTTTCAAGACAAATGAAGAGTATGACGATTGGCTGTCGAGATTATAAAAGAAAAGAAGAATGGTCTTGACATTACAGTGGATTAAACAATGCCAGTGAACAACTAACAGCACCAGTTCATTTGGAGGTATCGACAACGTAACGACCCAAGATTTTGTTTTCCTCCATCAGCTGGTAAACCTTGGCCAATTCAGACAACCCAACAACTTTGATTGGTGATTTAACCAATCCTCTTGTGAAGAAATCAATGGCTTCACGTGTGTCCGCTCTGTTTCCGACATAGGAACCTCTGATCTGGATCGACTTAATAACGTGACTCAAAACGTCAGAATGACAAACTGCAGAAGGTGGTAATCCAACAAGGACAACTTTACCTGTTGGTCTGACGAACTGTGTCGATTGGGAGATAGCCTTGTCTGAGACAGAAACATTGATGACACCATGAGGGCCGCCCAGTGTCTTTGTGATAATCTCTTCGACGAGATTTGGCGTAGTTTGGAAGTCAACAAACTCCTCGCATCCCATATCACGAGCAAACTGTTCCTTCTGACCAGCATCAATACCCAACACCCTATAACCCATAGCATTGGCGTATTGGACCGCAAGGGACCCGAGACCACCACCTGCACCCGAGATTGCAACCCACTGACCAGCTCTTAGCTCTGCTGTCTTCAACGCTTTGTACACAGTCACGCCGGCACACAATATAGGAGATATACCAGCCAAATCCGTTCCTGGAGGGATCTTGGCAGCTTGAACTGCATCAGCAGTGGCATATTGTTGGAATGTACCGTCATGGGTATAACCTGACATGTCAGCTCTTGGACAGTTGGACTCAAAAGAGTTCTCACAGAATTCACAGGACATACAAGAACTGTTGATCCACTTGATACCGGCATAGTCTCCAATCTCAAAGTTTGTAACATTGGAGCCTTTAGCAACAACGACACCGGCACCTTCGTGACCACCAATCAATGGCAGTTTTGGCGGGATTGGCCAGTCACCCTTCCAGGCGTGTAGGTCAGTATGGCAAACACCAGAATATTTGACGTTCACCAAGATTTCATTTGGCTTTGGCACTGGCACTGGCAAGTCCTTGTACTCGAGTGTACCGTTGTGTTCGTAAAAGATCACACCCTTTTGCGTTTCTGGGACTGAAAGTGTTGCCAGCCCACGGAGCAAGGTTGGTCTGAATAGTGAGTTGAAGGTCTTTGTTCTTAGCATTGTATAGAATGTTGTGTAGGCAGAGTGTAAATCTTGTCGGAGTTGAATTGCAAACGGGTTCTACAGGGCGATATTTATAGACGTTCAAGAGGACTGTATTCTACGTATGATCACAACTATGGGACTAGAGTAGTCCCGTGCAGTCGTGGTCTTAATCGACTGGCAATGTATGTGTCATTCGACAAAACCCTCTTGTTTATCTTTTTTTTATGGACAATTAAGAGCTTGTACCGTTCCTGTAAAGACACCTTCTCCACATTTTCCAGACTATGCATGTCCAAAACACAAATTTGGATACACCAACTGACATTCAATGGGAAAGCCAATAACATTAACGGGACACAAAGGACAAGACTTTTAAAGAAGAAACATTATTAATTATCATAAGCGGCAATCCGAGGGTGTGGGGCGGTTGGCTGTTTAGTATTTTACCCAACATTAAAGTAACGTACGGACTACATCATATTCAAGCCGGAGTGTTTATGATGAAGGGTCTAGTCCAAACGCTATCTAATTGTATGTAACGTTATTTTTCTATCCCCTTTATTTGCTTAGTCTCTCCTCTAACGATTAATCATCATCATCCGTCACCACCACAAATGCTCCCACTTCTCCATTGGACGATGAAATGGCACATAGGAGAGGGGTTTTCGTAAGCAATGCCAAACGCTCCTGGACATTCTCCTCTTGAACAGTGGAACCTACGATCACCAGTAGTGTGTTGAGACTCCCCACCCTTTATAACAGTGGATGAAGCTGTTTATGAGCTGTTTCCTGTCAAATTTGACCTGCATTAACAACCGGGAGGGACATGTCTCGTCTCATGCCCTTTCGGCCGTAATCCAGTCGAGGAACATTGGGACATCGTGGGACACGCTCTTCGCAATCATCGAGTTCTGCAGCCATTTAGGGACATTACCACCACTATCACTCGCAGTACACATGATCCAATCGATGGTGTTGTCTTTGTTCAGCCTGAACCTCTCAATTGAGCAGTAGACACCGTGAACATGCGACGACTGCACTGGGTGGTTAGCAACCAGTTGAATAACATAAGCACAGTCGTCATGGATATACCCAGGCTCAGCGAGCAGGATAAACTCTACAAACTCTCTTGTTGTCAGAGGGGCACCCAATTCGTAATGGGACCATGTGCTTCCCCATTTACGGAGATGTTCCTTGTTCTCCAACGACTCAAACCCTTCGTATGACTCCAATTCAACTTTCCCCCACTTGTCGAGGACTTTTGTATACTGGATCTCGTATTCCGTATGCGTGTACTTGTCATCGATGGTCCAAGACCCATCTTCGAGTCGTCTTGCGCCGAGGGAATATTTCATGATTTCATCCCATGAGTGTTTGGTCGCATCGATCACGCTATGTCTTGCCATCCAGTATTCGTCGTGCAAATGAGTGTAGTAGGTCTGAACATCTTGCCTTTCACCAGTGGCCAACTTGTACTTGTAGTTTTTTGATTTGTGCCATTTAGAGGTGATCTCGTTGACGAGCGAATCTGCGTCCTGGACAAACTCCTTGGTGTCTAAAGGAAGATCACTGACATTATGTGGCTTTGTAGAGAATTCAAACACCATAGTGGACCGATTCTGCACTTGTCTATGTAGCTGAGTCACTGGAACGGCAATTGTTCACTACTGAATGAATACAGTGTGCTATTTAAAAGGGAAGACCTGAGTTGTATCTTGTAGCGATCCGGGTAATTAAAAGGCGGAAAATCCACACGAGATAGAGGAAAGCCTGCACTCCAATTGAAATAAGCACACCCAGGATGGCATTCAAAAGAGACTGATACCACCAGACACACCTCAGCCATTGTAGTTCTCACTCGCCACCTCATTTCTTGTCATACTCATCTAGGAAAGCTCTTTTGCCATGATCAACCACCGCTCAATCTCATCACACCTCGGATATCACACCACTGTCATGTGATCCCTCCCTCGGATATACCAATACGGTAACCCGGCGCAACTTCTTCAACAACAAACAAAACCACACGAAAAAAGGACCACAAAGCTGGAAAAGCAAAAACAGACAACGATTTCACTCCGGCTCATACAAAGCAACGCACACAACCACAGCGCAATTATTCCTCCCGAACCGCTTGCTTCCCAGCCATAGCCCCTATTAGATAATCTGATACCATCCACGGTGAATAGAGACGGCATTATCTCTTTGACAGTCTGAGTACAAGCGAGAAGACCGAAAGCCACGATGTCGCAGAGAAAACTACAACAAGAGATTGACAAGGTGTTCAAGAAAGTGAAGGAAGGGTTGGAGATATTCGATGGCTATTACGATAAGCTACAGACATGCGAGAATCAGTCGCAGAAGGAAAAGCTGGAATCTGACTTGAAGCGTGAGATAAAGAAGCTTCAAAAGCAGAGAGATCAAATCAAGTCCTGGTTGAGCGGTAACGAGGTGAAGGACAAGAAGCTGTTGTTGGAGAACAGAAAGACCATTGAGAACGCGATGGAGCGATTCAAAGTGGTTGAGAAGAACATGAAGACGAAGGCGTACTCCAGAGAAGGTCTGAATCAGGACCGTAATGATCCAAGACAGAAGGAGAAGGAGGAAACGTCCGAGTTCTTGCAGCAGATGATTGAAGACTTGGAGAGACAGAACGAGAAGCACGAAGCGACTATTGACCATCTGCAGAACTCTGGAAAGAAGAGTAAGAAGCTCGACGGTGCTACCAAACAGGAGATTTCTGATCTGCAGGATAAGATGGATAGAAACCTTTGGCATTTGGACAAACTGGAACAGGTCCAGAGACTGATCATGAATGACATGTTAGACTGTGAACCCGTGAACGACTTGCAAGAGGATATAAAATACTATGTTGAGGAGAATGAAGACCCGGACTTCCTGGAAGATGATGCCATATACGACGATCTCAAATTGGATGAGGTTGAAGACTCCTTTGGTAACGTTGCAGAACTGGCTCCAAAGGAGGAAGAACACGAGTCTGTTCTTATTGACGACACACCTAAGAAACCAGTGGTCCATCAACAGACACCACCTCATTCTTCTGGATCCGCTACATCTACAACTACATCGACAGCTTCGATACCACCACCAGCAGCAACGGCAACGAATATTCCACCATCGTCGACACTTGCCAATGCTTCACATTCTCATTCTTCTGGCACAGTGACACAGTTCACATCAAACGGTACAACCACCACTCTTAAGCCTGCAATTCTGCAAAAACAGGAGTTGAAGTACGCCTCAGTAGCTGCTAATGCTTTAAACAGTGGGTTGCACCATTCAAATGGTATAATCAAGGCCTCAGAGTCACAACAGAACACTCCTAAGCTGAAGCCTACAACACTGGCGGATACTTTGTCTAACAACTCTAGCTCTACCAACCTGGAAAGCTCACAGCAGCAAACGACTCCATCGCATGCGTCAAAAGTCGTTCCACCGCCTGGATTATCCAATACCCCAAGAATTGGTACCCCATTGTCATCTTATGTGAGTCTGAATCACCTCGAAGGTGCACCAGCAGACTTTAATGGTGCTTCAGATGCATCTAAAACTGCATCGGTACTAGAATCAATCAAGGATTTGATCAATAAACCAGCACCACTAGAGGACATTTCAAAGATGTTGGATATCTCGCTGTTGAATTGTCCAGACTCTTTGGATGCAGACAGAGCACGCACTTATCGTCCATCAAATCCACATCCCACACCATCGGCATATCCACAAGAGCCATTACCAGAGCTTACCTACTCTAGTGTTGTGTCAAGGTTGGACGAGAG